CTGATGCGTCCTATGTTTCTCGTCGTTTGTCGGTCCTGAATGTGGACCCGCGCGATACCACGTTTTTCAGCGATTTTTCCAACGGGCAGCCCGCAAAAGTTGGAAAAAAGGCTCTGGGAGGTCCTGATGAGGTTTTGGAGCCCTTGAAGGGGATTGTGAGGCCTTACTTGAGTATTTGAAAGACTGGTAAACCGTATAACCCTTGAGAAAGCGCGTGTAGCAGACCTGTACACGAGTACTACACTCAAAAAATGCGGGAAAACAGCGTGTAGTACCTTGATTCCAAGTAGAAACATTACATGAACCTTAAAGTTTTGAAAAAACTATGCATTCATGTAGTACACTGTGGTTTTTCCCCAGCGCGGAGCGTGTAGTACCAGTTTTGATGAAATTACACCCGAGGCGAAATCCAGCTTTTCCCACAGTGCGGAGCGTGTAGTACTAGTTTTCATGAAATTAGACTGGCGGAAAAATCCAGCTTTTCCTACAGCGCGGAGCATGTGACACCTGGTTTTTAATTTGCAGTTCTACAGGTCAGGGGCTTTCAAGCTTCCTGCAGACTCTGGGGCCTTCAAGCCTTTGTGTTTACAAGGGGAAATGGACTCTGTGTGAATGCAGGAAAATGCCCAAGTAATTGAAGACTGGAAGCCATGCGGGCTGGGGGAGAGGCAGGCAGCAGGTTTTGCAGGCTTGCTGTAGGGCCACTGTAGGGTCTGTAGGGGCGGCGTGCGGCAGGGTCTGCAGGTTGCCCGCTGCAGGCTGCTGCAGGGTCTGCAGGCTTGCCGACAGCCTAGCTGTAGGCTTGCTGCAGGGCAGGGGTCTGCAGGCTTGCTGCATCAGGCTGCTGCAGGGCCTGCAGGCTTGCTGCAGAGTCCGCATGCTTGCTGCAGGTCTGCAGGGTCTGCAGGTTGCTGCAGTGTTACATGCAGGGTCTGCAGAACGCAGTAAGCAGCGCAGCCCGACCTTGAGAGCTACCTTGAAATCGCAAGGACTTGGAGCCTGAAGAGCCTGGAAAAGGATGCTTGTCTGTGCCCCCGAGCCCCCAATGGCAATGTTGGATGCCGAAGGTCGGTCTGACATGACCAACGTGTTGCAACATTGCCATTGGGGAAAGGGGATTTTCGACAACACTTATTGATTTGGGACAAGGTAGGCCCTTTGCTGGGGGTTTGGAGAATGTGCCTCAAGTGAAGCCAAATCCGACCCCAGAAAGACACAAGAAGCGTAGGACACGTTTGAGTGCCCCCGCAGTTGCAATTCAGCTTGTCATGTGCAATACTTGTTCCGTTATAACGCTATTGCCAACAGTCTTAAGCGACCGCTGACAATCTTTGCGCCCGACCCAAACATGTGGTGCATGCTTTGCGTGTCTCCGCAAAATTGAAAGCACACTTGCCACGTTTCACGGCCCATTCTGGGGTCCTATTTTTGGGCCCCAAAGCGAAGCCCGAAATGGGATCTTCTCTAAGAGTTTCGAATCAGGCAGACCCAGTTTTGGGACCCAATTTCTGGCCTCAAAATGAAGGCCAAAAACTGTGCGATTTCTGATGAGAAGACACACTTTTGAAGCTCGCCGAAATTTTGCCCGACGTGAGGACCGCTCCCGACATAAGACAATAAAAATGCACCGCTGCGTGGCAAGCGGTCGGTGGTGGGCCTTTACTTATTCATATAGGCGCCATTCAGGTTGCCACTGGGGGGGTACTCTGATGCGTCCTATGTTTCTCGTCGTTTGTCGGTCCTGAATGTGGACCCGCGCGATACCACGTTTTTCAGCGATTTTTCCAACGGGCAGCCCGCAAAAGTTGGAAAAAAGGCTCTGGGAGGTCCTGATGAGGTTTTGGAGCCCTTGAAGGGGATTGTGAGGCCTTACTTGAGTATTTGAAAGACTGGTAAACCGTATAACCCTTGAGAAAGCGCGTGTAGCAGACCTGTACACGAGTACTACACTCAAAAAATGCGGGAAAACAGCGTGTAGTACCTTGATTCCAAGTAGAAACATTACATGAACCTTAAAGTTTTGAAAAAACTATGCATTCATGTAGTACACTGTGGTTTTTCCCCAGCGCGGAGCGTGTAGTACCAGTTTTGATGAAATTACACCCGAGGCGAAATCCAGCTTTTCCCACAGTGCGGAGCGTGTAGTACTAGTTTTCATGAAATTAGACTGGCGGAAAAATCCAGCTTTTCCTACAGCGCGGAGCATGTGACACCTGGTTTTTAATTTGCAGTTCTACAGGTCAGGGGCTTTCAAGCTTCCTGCAGACTCTGGGGCCTTCAAGCCTTTGTGTTTACAAGGGGAAATGGACTCTGTGTGAATGCAGGAAAATGCCCAAGTAATTGAAGACTGGAAGCCATGCGGGCTGGGGGAGAGGCAGGCAGCAGGTTTTGCAGGCTTGCTGTAGGGCCACTGTAGGGTCTGTAGGGGCGGCGTGCGGCAGGGTCTGCAGGTTGCCCGCAGGCGCTGCTGGCCTGCAGGCTGCTGCAGGGTCTGCAGGCTTGCCGACAGCCTACAGACCCTGCAGCTGTAGGCTTGCTGCAGGGGTCTGCAGGCTTGCTGCATCAGGCTGCTGCAGGGCCTGCAGGCTTGCTGCAGAGTCCGCATGCTTGCTGCAGGTCTGCAGGGTCTGCAGGTTGCTGCAGTGTTACATGCAGGGTCTGCAGAACGCAGTAAGCAGCGCAGCCCGACCTTGAGAGCTACCTTGAAATCGCAAGGACTTGGAGCCTGAAGAGCCTGGAAAAGGATGCTTGTCTGTGCCCCCGAGCCCCCAATGGCAATGTTGGATGCCGAAGGTCGGTCTGACATGACCAACGTGTTGCAACATTGCCATTGGGGAAAGGGGATTTTCGACAACACTTATTGATTTGGGACAAGGTAGGCCCTTTGCTGGGGGTTTGGAGAATGTGCCTCAAGTGAAGCCAAATCCGACCCCAGAAAGACACAAGAAGCGTAGGACACGTTTGAGTGCCCCCGCAGTTGCAATTCAGCTTGTCATGTGCAATACTTGTTCCGTTATAACGCTATTGCCAACAGTCTTAAGCGACCGCTGACTATCTTTGCGCCCGACCCAAACATGTGGTGCATGCTTTGCGTGTCTCCGCAAAATTGAAAGCACACTTGCCACGTTTCACGGCCCATTCTGGGGTCCTATTTTTGGGCCCCAAAGCGAAGCCCGAAATGGGATCTTCTCTAAGAGTTTCGAATCAGGCAGACCCAGTTTTGGGACCCAATTTCTGGCCTCAAAATGAAGGCCAAAAACTGTGCGATTTCTGATGAGAAGACACACTTTTGAAGCTCGCCGAAATTTTGCCCGACGTGAGGACCGCTCCCGACATAAGACAATAAAAATGCACCGCTGCGTGGCAAGCGGTCGGTGGTGGGCCTGTACTTATTCATATAGGCGCCATTCAGGTTGCCACTGGGGGGGTACTCTGATGCGTCCTATGTTTCTCGTCGTTTGTCGGTCCTGAATGTGGACCCGCGCGATACCACGTTTTTCAGCGATTTTTCCAACGGGCAGCCCGCAAAAGTTGGAAAAAAGGCTCTGGGAGGTCCTGATGAGGTTTTGGAGCCCTTGAAGGGGATTGTGAGGCCTTACTTGAGTATTTGAAAGACTGGTAAACCGTATAACCCTTGAGAAAGCGCGTGTAGCAGACCTGTACACGAGTACTACACTCAAAAAATGCGGGAAAACGGCGTGTAGTACCTTGATTCCAAGTAGAAACATTACATGAACCTTAAAGTTTTGAAAAAACTATGCATTCATGTAGTACACTGTGGTTTTTCCCCAGCGCGGAGCGTGTAGTACCAGTTTTGATGAAATTACACCCGAGGCGAAATCCAGCTTTTCCCACAGTGCGGAGCGTGTAGTACTAGTTTTCATGAAATTAGACTGGCGGAAAAATCCAGCTTTTCCTACAGCGCGGAGCATGTGACACCTGGTTTTTAATTTGCAGTTCTACAGGTCAGGGGCTTTCAAGCTTCCTGCAGACTCTGGGGCCTTCAAGCCTTTGTGTTTACAAGGGGAAATGGACTCTGTGTGAATGCAGGAAAATGCCCAAGTAATTGAAGACTGGAAGCCATGCGGGCTGGGGGAGAGGCAGGCAGCAGGTTTTGCAGGCTTGCTGTAGGGCCACTGTAGGGTCTGTAGGGGCGGCGTGCGGCAGGGTCTGCAGGTTGCCCGCAGGCGCTGCTGGCCTGCAGGCTGCTGCAGGGCCCTGCAGGGTCTGCAGGCTTGCCGACAGCCTACAGACCCTGCAGCTGTAGGCTTGCTGCAGGGCAGGGGTCTGCAGGCTTGCTGCATCAGGCTGCTGCAGGGCCTGCAGGCTTGCTGCAGAGTCCGCATGCTTGCTGCAGGTCTGCAGGGTCTGCAGGTTGCTGCAGTGTTACATGCAGGGTCTGCGGAACTGTAAAGTTTTTCTACTACCTGGGAACCCCACCTACCAACCCAAAGGGTTGATGAGCATGTGTGGATTTGTGACTCATGTTTTACCGACAGCGCTTTTACTGGTTCAAGGAAAAAGAGCGACTTGAAGTTTAGCATGGTAGCGGAGCACACTGTGCATCCGGGACCGAAGCCATGCCTCGTGGCCGTGATGATGGTTTGGGTTGGAACCCTGATGCTGTGGAGCCAATGGAGCTCACAGAACCTACAGAGCCCATGGAACTCACAGAACCCATGGAGCCAATGGAACTCACAGAACCCATGGAGCCGATGGAACCCGCAGAGCCCATGGAAGAAGGGGAACAAGAAGAAGAAATGGAGCCACGAAGAAAGGAGATCAAGATTCACCGTGTTGGCATGGGAAAAGGCTACGGATCTTCAGCAAGCAGTTCAGCTGAAGGAAGTGGAAGTGCACCAAGGTATATGCCTCCAAAGCCGAAGAAGAAGCCCGAACGACCAGTGGTGGAAGGAAGAGATTACATTCCCTTGGAAGGGGGAGAACCAGACGGGCCAGTGGAGATCGGGAGTCCTAGTTCCTCTAGCCCCGAAACTACAATGGTGTACCAAGAGGCACCACCTACACCGAGAAGGGAGCCGAGAACACTTTCGTCTGGGCACATCGCCTTGGAGCTGCAAGAGCAGCAAGTGTCTGCTGAGCAACGCAGGCGAAGGCAGCTGGAGAGACTCTCTGCACTCGCAGCAGAGACGGAAAGGATCCAACGGCGAGCAAGGGAACGAGCCTTGCAGGAACCAGTTCGGTTTCCAAAGTCAGGAGGGCCGCCACCACCAGCGGGCCCAGAACCAGAGCAAGCTCCAGAGTGTCCACCGCCAGGACAAGAACGAGCTCCAGAGTGTCCACCTCCGGACCCAATGCCGAGTGGTACGAAGCTTCCTCTTCACACGCTGGACGGGGAACCCAGCAACGCAGCAGTGGCGGAACACATCCGCCGGAATGAGGAGGAGTATGCTGCAAGACGTGCCGGTGCAATTCCTTCAGGAGACGAAGCAAGAGCCAGGGAATCCAAGGAATTTGCTCGTGGAGTTGCATACTTTCGAGCCAGGTACGGCCAGCGAAGCCAGAGCAGTGGAACAGCGAGTTCCAGCCGAGACACGGGGCCTGGGACCCTACAACCCAGGACGGGACCTGGGACCCTACAACCCAGGATGGAAGATGCGAGAAATGAGCCAGGGAGCAGTTCCAGAGGACCACCTCCGAAGGAACGACCTGCTGGAAGCAAGGCGCCACCTCCAGAGCCAAAGGGACCACCACCGAAGCGAGTGGGAGCAACGCAAGCCACTACGCTCTACCCGAATTCTCCTTGGAGGAGAACAGAAAGGAGAAGAATGCGAGAAAGGGGCGAGGAGCCAAACCCTGGAAATGAGGAAGATGAATGGGGAGATTGGTCAGGACGATGAGGTCGACTACCAGAAGGAGAAAGCAGAGGTCGACTACCAGAAGGAGAAAGCAGAGATCGACTACCAGGAGGAGAAAACAGAGATCGACTACCAGGAGGAATCAAAATTCTATGGCCTATGTACAAACAAGAGCCTCTACTCCGACAAGACTATGAATGGAGCAAGAGATCCATTGGTGATGTGGATTTGGACCAGTATTCCAGGAGCAAAGAACCTCTACGACCCCAAGACTATGCAATTCGATTACAATGGAGCAATGGCAATGATGCTTATGCTTGGAGTATCAGGTGCGATCATGTTGTGCATTGGATGTTTGCAAGCGACAGTGCATTTGCAGTCATGTCGTCAGTCATGTTTGTGGAGATTGCAACATTCATGTTTTCGGAGGCGCTTGAGCAGAGGGGCACGGAGAGATCACTTGCGTTCGTGTGCTTGTGTGAGAAAACAACAGAGAGGAGCGATGCTGTGTGTGCTTGTCGTGTTACAGTTTTCTGCAGTGCAAGGGATGCAGCAGAATGTACCACCCCAACAACCCACAGAACTTTCTGAAATTCTGACTGCATTGACAAGGGCGACCCAAGTTGGAATGAGTGCGCTACAAAGGTTGGAGCAACAAGCAAGCAGTTCGGATGATCTGAACCGAAGGATTGAAAGTGCGACAAAGGCGATCAAGGCACCAGATGTTTGGAACCCACAAGCCTCGGGAGAGCATCCACCGGATTTTACAACCTGGAAACATCAGTTTCTGAATTGGCTAGGTTTTGCCGATTCGCAGTACTCAGAAGCTCTAAGTATGATTGAAAGTCTGGGAGCAACGCCGATCGATGTTTCGACTCTCACTACAGTGGAGAGAGAACTTTCGACAAAGCTTTACCACATACTGACTTCGTATATGCGGGGAGCAGCAACGCAACTGTCTCGAAATTGGAGCAGGGAGCGATGTGGGTATCGTCTCTATCAAGATGTTTCCCAACTTCGATGGGGGCAAGAGCATGGTGGAGCAGATTGGTTCACTGGAAAACCTTGTTCGGGAGTACGAGATCGCTTCAGGAAAGACCTACGATCGAGATTTGTTGATGGGAGTTTTGCTTCGATGTTCACCGAGGGCGATTCGAGACCACCTTACTTTGACAATGCCCGAAGGAACAAACTACATGTCAGTGAAGCAAGCGATTCTTTCATACGAGCAAAGCAGCAAAACTTGGGATTACCAGACGGTGTTGAAGCAAAAGACCTTGCAGAACACAGCGAGCAGTTCGAATGCAGATCAAGGACCAGCACCAATGGAAGTGGATGCAGTGTACGAGAAAGGAGGAGGAAAAGGAAACAAAGGCAACAAAGGAAACAAAGGAGGAAAAGGATCCTACTCGTGGTCAAGCTTTGGAGCAGGATTTCGCCAATGGAGAAAAGGTGGACGAAAAGGAAGCTACAAAGGAGGAAAGAAAGGACGAGGCAAAGGTTTCCACAAAGGAGGAAAGAAAGGCGGAAAGAAAGGTGGAAAGCATGGCAAAGGAGGAAAGAAAGGTGGAGGAAAGAAGTTGGACAGAGATGTTTGCCGATTCTGCAAGCAGCGAGGACATTGGGGAAACGAGTGTCCAAACCGCAATGTTCGAGAAGTGCAGGCGAGCGAGGCCAGCACCGAGGTACCCCACTCGACAGTCGAGTCTGTTACTCCGTCGCAGAGTGCGAGCCAATACAGGATAAGGAGAGTGAGGAACATTGATTTCCATCACATTGCGAACACACCACCTGACGGCACAGAGCACTATGAGCTTAGCGAAGTTTCAGAAGAAGAAGGTGATTGGTTCACCAGAAGGATAGAGGTGCAAGGACCAGAGTGCTACTACATCGGGGATGAGAGTGAGAACAAACAAGATCATGAGAGTGATGAGCTGTATCAATGGTATGAAAACAGCTTGGAAAGAGTTCAAGGAGGATTGGGACCTCCAGGAGGATTGGAACCTCTGAATCAACCTCTGATCAAGGAGGATTGGAACCTCTGAGTCAGGGAGGATCGGAACCTCTCAATGTGCGAATGGTCCAGTTGGACACAAAGCAACATGTGGTGATCTTGGATTCAGGAGCAGATGTGAGTTTGTTACCACGAAGATTGTCGGATGCAGGCGTCGAAGTTTCGACCCCAACCTCTCTGAGGTTGCAAGACGCACAAGGGGGTGCGATGCGAGTTGAAGGTATGCGGCGAGCAGTTTTGCAGTTCAGTAGCTGCAGTGTGACTGAGGACTTTGTGTTGTCGGACACCAATAACATCTTGCTGTCTTTAGGAAGGCTACTCAAAAATGGATGGAAGTTTGTGTCAGTGGGATGCAAACAGCGCCAGGGGGGCGAGACCTGGGGAGAAGAAACCCAGGCGGGGGAACTTGTATCTCCCGATGGTAAGGCACGGGTGCCTGTGGAATACCAGAGGAATAGCTTGAGATTGACAGCGGAAGTTAGAGGAGTCGAGCAAGTCAGGGCAGTCAAGGTGACTTTGGCCTATGACTTTGGTAAAGTCCCAGAGAAGGATTGGAGCCTTCTACCGAATGGAACGCCAGTCCATCGCCATTTTGGACTTGAGTTTGTAAAGCCGCCGACAGGTACTTGGAAGTACAGGACCACCATCGTGAAGGTGGGCAACGAATGGGAAGTGATTGAAGCAACGGAATTGCTCGAGCGAAAATCCGACTTGGAAGATCGAATACCGGGATTGCTTTTTCGATCAGAAATTCTCACATTCTTGCACAGGACACCAGAGTATCTGGACAAGTGCTTGGTAGAAGAGGTAGCACCAGAAGAAGCACCAAAGGAGGAAGAAAAGAAGATGGAAGAGGAGCCAGAATGGTTTGGAAGAGAAAGAGGAGCTCCAGAAGAGTTGCAGGTGCCAGTGCCGAAAGGAGTTGTGAAGCAGCAAGGAAAGGCAGGAGGACACCAAGAGTTGGAACTCGACATGGGAAGTACTATTGTGGTGAATGGAGAGTCACTCACAGCAACGAGTGAGATTGAGAAGCTGCGAGAAGGTTGTCGGTATTTGGGTTTGAGCGTCTCAGGGTCAAAGGTGAAGATGTTCAGGAGACTGTGCAACTACCTCACCGAAGACAGAGATGAGGACGCAGAAGAAGTTGCAGACAGGCTGAGGAAGCAAAGGCCCAAAGCAAGAACAAGACCCGGAGTGCCCGAACCGACAGAAGCAGAGATTGAAGAGCATATGGCAACCCACATGCCAATGCAACCATGGTGTGATTTCTGTGCAGCGGCAAAGTCGAAACAGGACCATACCCCACAAAGCAGTGAAGCAAAGTATGAAGACCCAGGAAAGCCAGTGATCCAGATGGACTTCATGTACATGGGTCAGAACAGTGTGAGTCTGATCATTCTTGATTCATGGACTCGATTTTCGTGGGCGATTCCAGTGCCGGGGAAAGCACCGACGAAGAAGTTGGCCGAGAAAGTGGTGAAGTTTTCTCTCGAGATGAACTACATTTCCGAAGAAGTTCTGTTTGCGATTGATGTGGAGCCAGCGACAACAGCCTTACTGGATTTGATTGTAGCAATACGACAAAAGTTAGGCTACAAGGCTGGAAAGTATCCAAACAAGCCCTACCACAAAGGAAGAACAGCGAGAGTGGAACGCCACATTCAGAACCTCAGGAGACAAAGCCTCACGATGATTGAAATGGTCGAGGATCGGATTGGGGAAAAGATTCCTGAAGATCATGCTTTACGAGCGTGGGCAATTCACCACGCAGCATGGTTGTTCAACAGGTACCACCTACACTCAGGGACGCAGAGTACAGCTTTCCAATTGGTCTACGGGAGACCATACCAAGGGCAGATTTTACCCTTCGGAGAGTATGTGTTTGGTCTGGCCAAGCCTGGAGGAGTGAAGAATCGATCCTTGTGGACAGGAGGAATATGGGTTGGAAAGGACGACCGGGACATGGACGTGATTACGTCAAAAGATGGGATCTTTACGTCAAGATCTGTGCGGCGCACACAACCAGCGTGGCGCGCACGTGAGACCCTTCAACTTCAGGGTTCTCCTTGGACGAAGAAAGCCCCAAGGCTAGGGCACACCGCGCATGCGGCACCGTTACCGAGAATCGTGGAAGAACCAGGCAAAGAGAAAGAAGGAGGAGAAAATGAGCCAGAGCCAGCAGGAGATGAAGCAGGATCTGATGTGGAAAGTTCAAAGCATGACACAATCAGTGATCTATTGCTGAGCAGTGGTCAACCTACACCTCGAAGTTCATCAACGGATTCCAACCAAGGCGGGGGACAAAAGAGAGAAACTGAAGGAGAAGGAAGAGAGGAACCTGCGAAAGCTAGTAAAACAGCAGATGCTGAGGAGCCACCAACGAAGCAACAAAAGACTGCGGAAAGTTCACCTACAAGTGCTGATCCTGGAAGTCCGAAAGGAAGTCTATTTCCACCGTTGTACGCCGGACAGGTAGAAGAACAGGAAGACGAAACAGGATATCATGAAGATGACCTTGGGGAAGAAAGAGTCTGGAAGGAATGCGAAGAGGAATATGAAGCGGATAGTGAAGGAGAAGAAGAAGATGAGGATCGACCACCGAAAGTCAGCGAAGAGGAACTTGAAAGATTGGATGCAGAGGCAGGAAAAGCTGAACTTGACAAACTCGCCAACATGAAGGTTGTGAAGACGATCAAGAAGGAAGAGTGTTCAGAGGAAGGTAAGTTTCTGACACTAAGGACAGTTTTCGATTGGAGAAAGAGAGATGGAGTTTGGAAGCGTAGATGCAGAATTGTGTGTCGGGAATTCCGTGCGGGAGCCCAGAGCACGGAGGAGACTTTTAGTCCTACGTCAGGACACGCAGCAGTGCGAATGATGTTTCTTTTTCATCTCATCTACAATTGGGAGCTTACAGTTCTTGACATTCGTGACGCATTCTTGCAAGTCAAGCAGAAAGCTCTGATGTATGCTGATATCTCACCGTGGATTCGAACGCTACTTGGTTTGGATGAAGACCATGTATGGAAAGTGGAGAAGTGTCTGCCAGGGCAAAGATCAGCGGCAGAACAATGGTTTACCCATTTGGTTGAGATTTTGAAGCGTTTGGGATTTGAGCAATTTGTTGGGATACCCTCAATCTTGAAGCACCGAGTGAAGAAGATTGCAGTGTCGATTCATGTCGACGACGAGCTAGTTGCAGGTGCAAAAGGCGAAGGAAGATGGCTGATATGCGAGCTAGAGAAGTTTTTCAAGCTCACAGTTGAGGGACCGTTCCCATCCCACCGGGGATCGGGAGAACAGCTTCATTACCTGAAGAGGACCTATGAGTTCCTTGAAGAAGGAATTTTGGTGACAGTGTCGAAGAAGCACTACGAGAAGCTTAGAGGACTCTACAAGCTGGGGAACCGAAAGCCAAGACAAACCCCAGAGCACCAGCTGATTGGAACAGTGGACAATTCCAAAGAACTGGAGGAGAACGAGTGCAAGAAGTTTCGTTCAGCGTTGGGAACACTGTTGTACATTTCCCAAGACCGATGGGATTTACAGCATGTGACGAAGTGTTTGGCAAGTAAGATGTCGAAGCCAACGGAACAAGCGTTAACCTGTTTGAAACAAGCTTTGCTCTATGTGCAAGGAACAGAGCAACTGGGATTCCTACTGAAGTACACAAAGGTTGGAAACAAGATGATGGATGCGATCTATCAAAGAGAAGAGCAAGAAGAAGAAGACGAAGAAAAGAAAGGAACACACAGTATGGAAGTATTCACGGATGCAGATTGGGCATCAGACCGTGAAGCGAGATGGTCTACATCATCAGTGATTGTGTGTATGAATGCAGTGCCAGTACTTTCGTATAGCAGGACCCAGAAAGCTACAGCTTTAAGTTCGGCAGAGTCCGAAGTGCTAGCATGCTCAGGAGGAGCATCAGAAGCGATGTTACTGAAGAAGTTGTGGATGTTTCTTGCAGGAAAGTTACTCGTGGAGATCCGGATGGATTCAAGTGCGGGAAGACAATGGATGATGCGAACAGGAGTCGGAGGACTCAAACATATCGATCTGAGAGTATTATGGCTTCAGCGAGGGGTGAAGAACAACAGCTTCAAAGCAAAGCCAGTGCCTACCAAATTAAACATTGCCGACTTGAATACAAAACGCTTAGGAGTATCTCGAAGGAGATTTCTCATGTACCATATTGGAGCCATGGTGTGGAATGGAGAAAGTCATGAGCGTTATGGGAAAGAAGAAGCAATGGAACATGTGGCAGGTGAAGTTTGCCGAAGCCAAGTTCGAGCACTACGTGCAACTTTGTTGAATGAGCGAGGAAGCAAGACGGCTAGAGCGATGTACTTGACAATGATGGTGAATATGATTTCTCAGATTGCAGGACAGCCAGACGATTTTGGAGGACGAGAACGAGAAGAACGAGAATTTGTTTTCATCTATGTGAAGGAAGTGAGTGGATGGATTATTCTTTTCAGTGTGCTACTAGGAGGAATTTTCGCTTTACTCTTGTTCTACATGGTCGAGCAGAAGGTGAAGAAGGACCACAGGAACCACAGGAAGAAGGACACAGGAACCACAGGAAGAAGGACCACAGGAACCGCAGGAAGAAGGACCACAGGAACCACAGGAAGAAGGACCACAGGAACCGCAGGAAGAAGTACCACAGGAACCGCAGGAAGAAGGACCACAGGAACCGCAGGAGGAATTCACTATTCGAAGATTTGTGCAAAAGTATTGTCCGCCCGATGAGGATGATGTTCAACGTACAGCAAGGGCAGTCAATATGTATTTCCGTGATGCACCAGAGGATTCAGCGACAGGCAGTGGTAATGGGATGCCTGGAATCAGTACAGTACCAGCAAGCCAAATCCATGTGAATGACGAAGAGCTTGCAAGGCGATTTCAAGAATGGGGAATGGTTAATATCATTCCTATGGCACAGGATGTGGACGAACAGCTACGAGCACAACCCCATTATGTGTACACGCCTCATGGCAAGAGGTACCACCGACCTACATGTGCAGATGT